AGGCAAGAAGCGAAAAGTATTGACATTTGAGATTATCGAAGCTGTCGTGATTAAAGACAGTATGATGCGAGTGATTATTATTGTACTCGTTAACGCGCAAAGTTATGACAAGTAAAATAGCCGTCAGAAGCGGGGAAGGGAATAGTCACCTAAGCGTCTAACCGACGATAGAGGGGACCTGGTAGTTAAAAACAGACTAAGGTTGCCGAAGTCCTAAACACACTCTTTGTCATCGGGCGGACACTGTGCTGAATCACGCTCGACAGTCGACATCCGAGCGTTCGGAAGTCGCGCCGCGCCGGCAAGCGCGTTCCTTCGAGGCGTACGCCTCGAATTAATGTGCGTGTGCGACCGCGAAAGTCGAAGTCATTGAAAAGCGAAGGTGACGAGGTGGTGAAACGAATCGCGGCGCGATTTCTCGATTTCATCCGGTCGAATCGCGAGGCGTATTTCTCTATGCCGCACGTGCGTCGCGTCGGCTATTTTTACTCATCCGCGAGCTATCACATCTTCGAATAGTGTCGCCCATGTGAATATCGTGCGCACAGTTGCCCGATTCGGTGTGATCGTCTCTTTCGACGTTTCATTTTATGAGAGAAAAACGACGAGGTAGAACCGGTCGAAAAACACCGGTCTAAACTTCTCAATTTTACCCGTCCGAATAAATGTAAAGTAACCGTGATCGATGGTAAAAAAAAAACAAAAAACGGCGGGAAGTCTGAGTGTCTTTCGGATTGCTCGCATCTCTCTTTCTCAGCAATAGCAACGGCCTTGGGAAAGCTGGTAGTCTTAGAGTAGTATTAAAGTTTGGTTTCTATCTCTTTTTTTTTCTCTCTTCGAGTAGCTTTCGACGAAACCGCGAATATATGCGACTTCGATTCCGAATGATTGAGATAAAAAGTGCGGTTTACGTCTCTTTTTTTTCTTTCTTTTTGCGCATTGACGGTCGGACGTCGAACATGACGTGCTCGTAATGGGAGGGAAACGTCGGTCCCGATGGCGACTCGACGGTAATTGGGACGAGACACCAGACCTTAGACATAGCCACGGAATTCGCAGTTAACGTATACAATCTGGCATAATCTCATCATCGGTCACTTCCGACACACATTCCCGGCACGACCGGCGTGACACTTGAACCATGGCGGAAACAGAAAAGAGATACACGCACGCATACGGACAGCTGCGTAGATTAACGAGCACGATAGACGGTCAAATTAGGCAGTTGAGTGTAAGTAAGAGTACAGATCTCTTTGAACCATGTGAAACTTACCAGGAAACTTCAAAGTGTGCGTGAAGTGTTGAAGTTAAGAAAGAAATTTTTGTTAAAAAAACCTCACGGTGTGAATATCATTGAAATGAAACGTATTTGAACGGAGCCGTGAGACTCGCTGTCACGTTGCGACACGTTATTATTAATAATTCATTACACGACCTCCCTTCGCGCCGGAGTTTCTAGCGTTGGGCATCTCGCCAAAATTTCTTTAATGTCTTCTCATACGAGTACTGATCGTAAAAGAGTACTAGTTAAAGCAAAAGATCATTCGCCTATAAGAGGCAATATCTTATAGATGCCGTCTGTATGCATATGTAATAAAAATTTAATTCATAGATCAAACAAAATTTCATTCGGCGTTATACGAAATGATAGGTGTTTGTCCTTTTCTCTGTTTCAGTCCGAATATGGACTCACAGAAGATCAGGTAGCAGGTGAGTTAACGATTGTAAATAATTCAATAATTATAAAATAAATCATAAAATAATTCATAAATCAGTAATAGTTAATGTTTATGATAGGATTAAAGATTCATAATATTTTAAAAATTTGTGACATTTGTGTTTTTTAATATTTTGTATTATAAAATATATAATCTATAAAATATTTTGTAATATATATATATATATAAACGTTTTTTTTAAACTAATTAATATACATACGTGAAAAACATAAAAATTATTGTCATGTGATGTGTGTGCCAGTTGGCAGCAGTTTTTCCTGTTTACCTAATATCTTGATGCTGAGTCAGTTATAATGAGAGTTAGAAATAATTTAAAAGGGACAGAACATATAGTACATAGATACAAAAGATACCGAATAATGAAATATTTCACTAGATGATTTAAATGAATAAGCTCTCTAAATAATTGATGTGTAGTTTACGACACAGATAGATTATTATCTCTAATGATATCATCGTTGACACGCAAGAATATTGATTATATTTAACTCTTACGATCTAACTTGCTGCGACAGTTGCATTCTTCTAGTTATAATCTTATTCTTCAGAATAATAACTAGACAGAAGGGAGATAGAAAAATTAAGAAAACTTTTATAGATCAATTTATTCCTAACCTATATATATATATAATTATTTAATTATTAAAAATTCAGATATTAATTAACCCTTCATTGTTCTCGCTCGTCAAATGAACGTACTCTCGTATGAACGTCGTGCCATGCCTGTGTATATGTTACTGTTTAATGCATCGTTGCCATATAATTTTCTCAGATCACGTTATTTCAATTTTCTTAGAGCAGGTAATTGTTAAAAGGAAATAATATTAATAATAAAAGGAGTAATAATAGAGAGAAAATAAGAACAAATTAAAGTTATATTTACGTTCTAAATCTTATTATTAGTTCATCTCGATGTGTTAGCTATATCTTTTTATTTTTTTATAATAAATAAAAATTACATTAGCATTTCTTAACGCAAAAGTTTTTTACTATAAAAAATTTAATTTTACCGTTTGATGTTTTACGTATCATATTATATTAGACACTTATTTACAGTCAAATTAATATAAAAATTTACCTTTGCGTTGACAAATTTAAGAAGAAAAAGATGCGATATCGACTGATTTATTGATCTGTTATAGTAAATTTCAAGTTTGGCAACAGCTGCGCGAGTCGCGTCGGCTCATACATATTACGATATTGCTCTCGCCATGAAAGCCACTCTTAGATAAAACGCGCGTAAACACCTTCAAAATTTTTAATAAAAATTATTTTTAACGAAATTGAGAAACAACCGTACAAATAATCTAAAAGGTTGTAAAAAAAAGTCAGAATGTTTCAATATTTATGCCACATCCGTGCAATTAAACAATGGAATTTGAAATGAGCGTTTGCCTTACGAGAGCAGTAGGGGGTTAAGGCAATTTTTTGTTGATAAAAATCTGTACCTATAAAATAACGATTTGAAAGAGTAATCACAAAATCTCCTGTTTTCGACTTCGCGATTTTGGTGTCTTCGCTGAATTGTGTGTCAAATGACCTTATGATAAGACATCAATCATAAATCAAGTTAAAACTAGAATTGAAGAGATTTGGGAAGGTCAAAGTTCATTAAAGCGTCAATCCCTATACTTTGAAGCATGAATTTTTGTGTCAGTTCAATAATTTAAAACTTCATATCCGGAAGTTTTGCTGGCTGCTGATGATGAATTTAAAGTCAAATTTTTACAATTCAAAATAGTCGATTTAATATGACGAGCTGTGTATTTAAAAAGAACGTTTTAATTTCTATGAAAAATATTTTATTATTAATAGAAACGATTAATATAACAATAAAGGTAAAGCAAATTTTAATCATTTATGTATTACATGTTTCCATCGAGCTTTGCAATTAACAATTAATCAGTGCATAATAAGATGCCCGAGAAATCGTTTCAAATACATCAGACAATAACTGTTTGTCTCGGGTACGGTAACGATTGACATGGTAACGACGAGAAACTCCGTTATTTCAGAATTCAAAGAGGCATTCATGCTCTTCGACAAGGACGAAGATGGCACGATTACGATGGCGGAATTAGGGGTCGTCATGCGGTCTCTCGGTCAAAGACCATCGGGTGAGTAATTTACTCTTCGCGAATCTCGAATACATTCAGGATGCATCTGAGTGAACGTCCGGAAATAGCGATGAATGAAACGATAATATATATTTTTTCAGAGACAGAACTGCGCGACATGGTGAATGAAGTGGATCAAGACGGAAACGGTACCATCGAGTTTAATGAATTCCTGCAGATGATGTCGAAGAAGATGAAAAGCGCCGATGGGGAAGACGAACTTCGCGAGGCGTTCCGGTAATAAGCTCTCTACTATACATAAGAACTCCAAGTACCTAATTGCTTCTGGGACAATTGCATTGAAAGAACGTCCCGAAGCGAACTTTTGTTCATGGGGAGAATAGAGCTTTTAAGGATCGACAGGAGAGGAGAGACTTTTAGTTAAAGACGAATTTCTTTATGCTGAAATTATGACTAAAATGCTGCATGAAGAGCGTTTTAATTGCGATATTCATAATCAAGAAAGTCACCTACGAAGGCTCGTACAGAGATTTTTTTTAAAGAAAGTCAAAATAAAAATTCATTCTACTATCCCATCCCGATGTGTACTATAGTATGGAGTGCATGTAATTTTATTTATTATAATTTTTTAGAAATCAATTTGCAAAATCCGGCTTTGTACTTTCGCAGCTTTATAAAAAAAGAAGCTAAAAAGCAAATTTGACAAAAGGCAATTTGGCATATTGTTCGTTTCGTTTCAGAGTGTTCGATAAGAACAACGATGGCTTAATATCTTCGAAGGAGCTGCGACATGTAATGACGAATCTTGGTGAAAAATTATCTGAAGAGGAAGTCGACGACATGATCAAGGAGGCTGATCTAGATGGCGACGGAATGGTCAACTACGAAGGTAACGCCTATATGTTTCTCAATGTGTCTGTGTGTGTTTATAATTTATCCTAAGCATTCATATACACATTTCCATGAGGCAGCTGCTAAAAAATATTAATATATATATAGATATGTATATAGAATCCTAAAATTCACGCCTCAAAATACTGTAATAAAAAAGTGCTCGAAAAATTAAGTAAAACAGTCGTTGTTATATTTTTATTTTAAACAGTCATTTATGAAATAATAAGGGTTTAAATCTAACCAATTACAAGCTACGTTTATAGCTTGACATAAAAATTATATATAGAAAGTGCTACAAAAGAGAGATATTAAAAAATATGAAAAATATATATACATATATTTTTAATATTACGGTACGGTATAAAATCGTAAAATCTGGCGCGAAACAGATATAAACAGTTAAAAATAATGAATAAAATAAATATAATAATAATGTGTAATAAAGTGAACTGTACACTGTGTGTGTGTGTGTGTGTGTACATTATATATATTTCAATTAACAATTAATCAGTGTACAATATAGGATGTGAATAAATTAAATTTCTTATAAACCTGATATTCGGGTTAAATATATTGTACATATAACATTTACATAATTATTATCACAAATTACTAAATTATACGTTGAATTATGTATTAATCACTCATGTTTCAGAATTCGTATCGATCCTAATGTCGAAAAATTAGTTCGGAGATCGAAAGAAGGATATAGATTCAAAGATAACGAAGGATCCTTGACGGAGCAAAAATGAATGGATTCGCCACTCAAGTTCCTCGACTTCGTAGGATTGCAGCGAGAAATCGTTTCATGTCCCATGAAAATATAATCGCAACCGTCGGGGGAAAAAAATCAAAAGCTCGACGACCGATCGACCGCGGCACGTACGACATTGTGAGATCGCGAAAGCGAATTGCACCAACATACCAAATTTACTCTATAGCTAAGGCTTTGTGAGAACGACGACGGCGTGCTGAAGATTTCGCGCGTAAGTAGCGCAGGTAGACGATTGAAGAGGCATCGGAAGCCTTTGGCTTCGTGCGGGATGCGCGAGTCTCGCCGCGAATAGTAAAGGCTTCGGCTTTATGGCCGGAAAACTGAGAGGAGAGACTTTCTTCCGCGAATTTTGCACATACGTACACGCATTATATACACAGATACACCTCGCGCTCCTTCGGACTAATCTTATAGACGAATACTTGACATTTTTAGATATAACGGAAACGTAACGTAATGTTAAAATAAAGAGAATATGTCCAAACGACGGGGGAGGGAGGTGTGACCCGCCGCTACCCGGAACAATCAACCGAGCTTCGTTTAGACTTTTACGTCCCCCCTAATCTTTACCCCCCCCCCCCCCACCCCTGATAATTTTACGGAGCGGAGAATTTAAGAGTTACTTAGCTTTCCATTTGAACATCCCCGCGAGGAAAGTCCTGAATATATATATTAGTACACGATATATTTACGTGAGATATATATATATATATATATATATATATATACACATATTATATATATACATATGTTATTATATTATTACTATGCGATATTCCTTTTACGTCGCTCGTTTCCTTGAAATGCGACGTCCACGAAAGGTACTGTACTTCGAGTGTTTTTACCGCTTGTACTACAAGACGCAGAGACGCGCGCAAACCTAACGTAGTGACACACACGTCTCCCGTCCTTGCCCTCTCATTGCCATCACTTCCCTGATTGTTTAGCGATTTTAGAGCGGGCACACTGAAGAGTGATTGATACTACCGCTTTCGCACGTAGCGTGAACTGGCCGATAATTGTGTGGTGCCGCGTTTCTGTAATCGATCACCGTCGGGTGGACGTGTGCCCTGGTTGAAAAGGAGTTTTGAAAGTCTAAAACGCTCAAATTACTGCGACATTTCCTGTGGGAACAATTTAAGCAAAGCACTTGTTACCTGAGCGTGCAGGATTTGAAAAGGTGTCCGTACGATGCTCATTCCTTGATTATTATCGAAGGAATAATCTAACGATCTTGTTCATCCATGTTGGCTCGTTGATGAAGTTTCAAACGGAACTAATGCTGTGACTGAATTGACAATCCCTCGTTACACATCCAATGATTATAGGTGCTATTATGATAATTAACAGGTGCCCTATAGTCATTAGGTATGTGGCAGTGGCTTTTAGTAAAGATAAGAGAGAAGGAATCTAAGCAGAACAGAAGATCATTATGACATTAAAATGGTGATTGCAAAAAATGATTCCAAAAAATGATTGTTAAAAGTCACTTTTATCCGATTAGTTACGGTTCATTTGAACGTTAAAGCGTCATTATCGCGACTTGTTGCTCTGCTCGGCAGGCCCTTGCTTTGCAAGCCGGGAACAATTCAACCAGGGTGATTAACGCGAAGCGCGAGCACTTCTTCATTCATGAACACGGAGGGGGATTATATAATGTGACGATTCCCTTAAAAGATGAAAAAAAAAAACAAGATGGCACGACGTATCCTCCGCTGTCGCACAATCAATATCGCTCGCCGCACGTCGGCGCCCGGATTCAAGAGCGTGTAAGCTATGTGCGCATTACGTTATGGTACCTTTAGACACGTGTTACGTAAGAGAAAATGAAGCTGCGCGCGTTAACACGCGTGACATAGACCCATAGATAGTATCTAGCGACCCACATAGTGGCATATAAAGAAACACGCGGTCGCAAGTATAAACGATAAACTGTACATGTGGATTATTATATATTATACGTGATGTTGCTACCATGAAAAAGAAGAGGAAACATACATGAAATACGTTCTAGATATAATTATGTCCATACACACAAGAGGACATACGTCCTCTCCGCTGCCCGTGCTCCATACACATACACGCCCGCACGCACGCACGCATGCACGCGCGCGTAATCCGAACTGACACGAAGTTGAATACTCGAGTCGCGAGAGGGATCGAGAGATCGAAGTGATAATAACGCGCGAGCGCATCTGTGGCGTACCATCAATCGGAGTAATTTTGTCCCATTTTGTGCGCGTGGTGTCCCGTTATTTTATTCAATTTTCTGTTATCCCTGACAATCGTTGTAATAATGTGCGTCAAATTTGACAAAAATACGCACGCATTTGATTGGAGTAACCCGTAAAGGTGATGCTTATCTAACGTATGATGTAATGTGTAATGAATATTGGAAACTAATGATTATTTATTTATATTCATTTATTTAAAGATATTGTATTTCATTTTTTTTTAATACATGCATACGTACTACTGAGAGGTAATTTATATTTAATAAAAAATTAACAATATTACCACTTGAATTATTTATGGTTTTTTTTTTTAATTTGTGTAACAGTTTTTTATGGATTTATGGGAAGTATACGAACACTTGGCGCCTTTTTTTTACCTTTTTTTTAAAAAAAGTAACTTTGTTGTTGGAGTAACCCGTAAAGATGATGCT